GGTCTGCCCGGCGTCTGCCGGGACGCAGTGGCTGAGCGAGGCCTGGCCATGGTCTTGCCCTTCTTCTGACGCCTGCCTTCAGCCGGCTTCCCCTGGCGACTGGGTGAGCTTGCGCCCGTTTGAATCGGAATCATTTGAGGAAAAATAACTTGGAAAGTTGAAACTAAGATTTTCCTCGAAGTGACGTGACTCCCAGCTGATGCTGACTGCGAATCAGACGGAGCCGGCGGTGCCATGGATCACAAGCATGCACCGGGGTCACAGCGTTCCAGTTTTTTTTGTCCAAAGTGAATATGAGCCCGACAGCAGCACAGTGTCAGAGGCTAGAATACCTGGTATTGAAGTGTGTTTCTTTATGGCATTGTATTTATCGATGTGGCTTTTAAATTGACTTTGACGTCAGCATGTGCTCCTGCTTCCAAGTACATTTTAAAAATAAAATCCAAATTATATATGAAAAAACTAGATAAAACAAAAATGAAAAATAAGTTGCTAAAGTACTTCAGCCTCGGTGAACTCCTGCAGGAATGAATTTGAGGAGTTGGTGCTCTTCTGCTGATAGTTAGACTAGGTGATTGCAGGAGTTCTCCCAAATCCATACCTTTTAACCACTTGGTTTCAAGGCACTGCTTTACTGGGCTTTCTCGTTAAAAATAAGTTTTTGTGTATTGTGTGTGCTTCTTACTGAGGTCAGTGGGAGGCTGGAATACTCTAGAAATTCATTTATCTGAAGTAAGAAATCCTGTTGTTTTTAAGACATAGGGGAAACTCATCGGTTTCAAAATGTCATCAGTCAAACGCTTGGTTTATGCAGTGATTCATTTCTTGAGAGAGCAGAGTCAGATGGACACTTTCACTCCAGATGAACAAGAAAGCTTGGAAGGTAAGTGATAAAGGTGCTAATATATGTATCTATGTAATAGCTACCCATGTGTGAAATTGCTAGAAGGTAAATGGAGTGACCTAACTGAAAACTGCCACCAAATGTTACCTGTGAATAAGCTTATAGAATCATAGGTTGGAAAAGACCTCAAAGATCGTGAAGTCCAACCATCAACCCAATACCACCAGGCCTTCATGTTTCTGAAATTATTAACTTTAAAACATAATGTAATTTTTAAAAATATTCTAAAGTTACAAAATGTGTACTAGTTTAGTTTTGAGCAACAGATACTTTGAATCATGTCAAGTTAAGCAGTGCTGTAATGCAGACTATGGTAACGATTGCGTATGTGTCCCACAAATTTTTGTCTGCTGATTATTTTTCTCTTCTGTGTTTGGTTTCTTTCTGCATTTTTTTGTCTGGTAGTAGCTGTGCTGGCCATGGAGGAAGTAAAACAATTACCGTATCTTGGTTTTCATATATGGGAACAACTCCCGTTTCATACTTGCAAGAATTCCATGTAACTTATGAGGGAAGACTAAGAGATCCCAAGAATATGGAAAATAAATGCTTTGTGTTTCTTTTTCACTTGAATAGTGATTCCAAAGAGCGCATGGTAGTGAATGTTTCAGTATGGTATAGTTTCTATTATACATCCAAGTCTATCTATCTGTAGGCATAGCTGAGGAAACATGGACTTCTGTGTGTATTCCTCTGTTGACAGAAAATCATTAAGTCTTTGTAACTTTGTAATCTGTCTTCCTCCTTCATACTGCTCTTACTCCTTTTCCCTAATTCCTGGAGACTTCATCACAGGTGGTATGACGATGTGGAATTAAGCAAGAGAAGAACAAAAAGTCTGTTTCAAGCAGTCTTTGGTTGCCTTACTCAACCAAAAGAGGAATTTGGAGCTAAGAGGGGAAAGTCTAGGAGCAGCAGTGCAATAAACAGCATCCAGCTGTTGATCACTGACTTACCTGAAATCTGAGGTGTGGGGAGTAGACTTTCCAGAAAAAGATAAAGGGGAGTGTGCTTCCTTCCAGTGTTTATTTGTTTTACAGTGTAGTTATTCTCTAATGTAAGCAAGAAGGAAACATTTGTATCATGATATGCAAAGGATACTCACAAAAGAATAGAAGCCAGATGATTTGATTTTACTTCAGAATCTGGAGCATTTTGTACACTTGAAAAGTGGTAGTCGTCTATGAACGTAACTTCTGTCGGGTTATGATGATGTTCAGCTGATGAAAGAAAGCAATTTTTTTGGAAATCATATAATTAAAGATGAAGAGTATTCCTTTTGTTTTTGTAGTAAAACTGATAAACATTGGGTTATGTCATCAGGTGAATTTTCAGTCATGTCTTAGAGCAGCCTTAGCCAACATCTGTACGGAAGAATCAATTTTAAGATTCTGTTTCCTGAACAAAAAATATTATAAAACCTCAGCTGTGCTTAAATGCTGATGTAAAATTTACCATTTTAATGAAAGATATGAAATCCTAATTTTAGAGCTGTACTGTGGCAGAAGCATGGTACCATATGGCATGTGTTAGAGGACAGGAGGCGGATGTTCTGAATAATTGACTCGTTTTACTTGTGTGAAATATCTTTAGTGCATGTGGAGTAGCAATAGCCCAAGTCCCACCCACTGAAGTGTTTCTTGTTAGGTGGAGACGTAAGGGATGTAAAAATGTGACTGATATTCTTCATTAGTACTCTGTGTACCTAATTGGTGTCTATGAAAAGATAAACCACTGTATGATTAAATGACTGTGCCAGGACGTAATTTATAGAGTTCCTGTTCTCCATAAAAAAACCAAAAAGATCCAGAACATGACAAGTAAAATTGAGATTTTATCAAAAAAGAAGTTTACCTTGTATTCAAACTTCATTTGTATTGATAACCTGCATTCTGCATGTATGAATTATATAGTGATGTCAGTGATAGTGTAAATTTCCTCTAGGAATTTTGTAGTAGCGTGGTGAATAAAAATACCTTATTTTGAGAAAGCAGAGTAATCAGAAGGTAAGTCAGAGAAATACACTCTCCTACAACCTAGGGTCTGGAGCAGTGGTGTAGATCTCTGGGGGCCAATGCTCAACTTCATTGTATGAACTAGGAACTTCACTTCTTCCAAATTACATTTTAGACAGTGTGTTAAAATGGCAGTTATTTCTCTTTCCTGTTTACAGTTTCTATTTTTTTTTCTTGTCTGTAGCACTTATTTTTGTGGGATTAAAGCAGAAACTCTCTACAACGTGCACAAGGCTGTAATTGTTTTTTTCTTCTAAGATCGATGTACTGCAATGAATTTCTCTAAGGCAGTGTTTCCAAAACAGTGGAATGCACTCCGTAACGTGAGAGATGCATATAATACTTGAGATGGGGAAGGTTATGTGTAAGATGAAGCAAGATGATACCGAGTACTAAAGGGACCTCAGCAGCCCAATTAATATTCGTTATTCCGTGATCAACAGCCTGCATGTCTGCTGTGAGGCCTTGATGTTGCTTGCAACTTTTGCTTGGACAGCAAAAAATCCTGGAGCTGTGTGGCACTGAGGATGATGAGCTGGGCTTCAGCATAGCCCAGGTGCTCCTGTTGTCAGGTAGTAGGTGTTTGCATGAGCACCCGCTGTTCAGCTGGGAGGTAGGTGTCTGTAGTGGTTTGCAAGGTGGTCAGTACAAGCTTCAGCAACTGCTTAGGCCTCTGAAAGTGTGTGTGATAATGGTGATAATAGGGAGAACAGATAAAATTAATTATTTGTTAATTTGCCTTTGAAATCAGACACAGGAAAAAGATCAGTAGCTCACATGGTGCAGCAAGTCTTTCCCAGCTTACTGATGGCACCGAGCTTGCGGCAGATGACAGTACCTTGCTTTGGTAACAGGATAGTGAGATGCTGGCAGTCTAGGCTCCTGAAATACTTTTCAGACAAAAACAAGTCTTCACTCCTTTTGCTTTACTGGGGTCAAGTTTTTATGTTGCATTGAAACAGGGTAGTTACTGATCTTGTCACAACGTTATACATCTTCTGATTTGGAAAAGTTTCTGGTTTGGCTATGTTTGTTTTTACACAGGTTTCTGTTGTTGGCTTGCATGTTAACCAGTGGTTATTCTAACCAATTCATCCCATAAAAGATCCTAATTTTATTATGCCTGTGACAGATAGATTATAAGGATTATAAATTCCAGTTTTCACTTAAAGGAGAGATGTGGGAGTTCACTATAACAACTGATTATTTAATGGAAATGCTTACTAATAATAATACTGAGGATTATTTTGTTTCAGCATAATTTGCACTGCTGCACTTTGCAAATACCTCCTCTATGGTAGAGAGTTGGTGTCACAGACTTAATGCCTTGAGAAAGATAAAGGAGAGGGTTGTATTTTAATTTTACGTAAAACTACAAAATGAGGTGAGACATTCAGGAAAGGGAATGCCTTTACGTGAAAACAAGTTTGAGGGGAAAACTGGTAAGTATACGAAGGCAAGTGGCTTCCTGTTAAGTTGTATAAGGAGAAACACGATACATAGTTCCACTGATTTTGTGATAGGCCTGGTAATAACTGCTCTTAGTATCTAACTCAGAATTCAGCATAATCAGTGCTTACAAGATATAGCAGGAGACTAAGGAGTGTAACCCAAATCCTTCAGCATTCTTACTGGGTAATTTAGAACCTGGCAAATTGCTAAATAAGCATACAACTTGCTCCTATAACTTATAAATGATAAAAATGTATCAATGTATTCAATTGTTACAAGTTACCAACATTTATTTTGTATGGTACTTGACTTTTTCTGAGTAATTTCTATTGTATGTTATCGGAGTTTAAAAAAACCCCCTACATCTTACAGATTTTACCGTTTATTTTACAACTTTACTTTTCCCCCTTTCTCCCAGCTGTGACACAGAAAATAGGCTCCTCAAACTGGCCTTACAGTTATTAACTTTCAGTAATTTTACTTTTCTAATTTTAGGTCAGTGTCCAGGTTCATTACAATGCAAGCAAGAATTCAAATTATATTTATTACATTAACAATGGGCTGAAATTAATTTTAAATTCTAAGATTTGGTTTTTACTGAAACTTAATTTGAATTCAGCTGCCCCTGGTATTTATAGTTCCAGTTAGAAAAGTAATTTTTCTGTCCAAACTAGGTTATACAAAGACCCTTCTTTGTTCCTCCTCGGTTTTCAGTCTAAAAGATTTAGGTGATGTGTCTTAATAAAAATGTTCTGCTAGATTCTCAAGATAATAGGGAAAATAATTATATAATTTGAGATACTATAATTAACAGAACACATATATGTAAGGAATTGTGTATAGTAATTGCCATTGATCTTCTTTTGCTAAAATATGTGAGCACATTTAAAACTTCAGTTGGCTTTTTGGTTCTACTTTTTTTAGAATTGCTTGTTGTGAGTGTATTTGCATTATTGCAGGCTTGGGAGGGCCATTTAATCCTTCCACAACAGAACATGCGAAAGGATACTGCAAATGCATTTTTTGTAGGATAAAGGCTTGTGATTAATGAAGTATTTTATTAATAAACATTGTCTTGAAATGAATATATTTTGTTCCAAAAAAAGAGAAGAGTAGGAAGTATCCTGCATTTATTCTTTACAGTAGAGATGAGACATTTTCTTCCAACTGTTATACCACACAACTATATGGCAGTTGTGGTGTTTTGAGGTGGGGTGTGTGACACATGACACCACATGAATTGTGGTGCTTTTGTTAAATCCTCATATTTTTATGTTTAAAAAAAGAGACATTAAGTGATTGAAGGAATTGAAATAAATGTTTTAAATTGGTTTAAGAATAAAGGCCAAACAGTGTATGGATTCTGTATAGCTTATACTACTTTTCAGCAAGTCAGTTCTATGGGGGTCCGGTAGCCTGTCTGTATTTTATGATATGTTCCAAAGAGCTGCTTCTACCAGCTGAAGAAGGAAGTGAATCCCAGCTTTAGAAATAAATCAATGAAATTACACTTCTATTGAGAAACTGGTGACTTTTTTTTTTCTTTCTTTCTTGTAAGTTGCAATTCAGTGTCTGGAGACTGTGTTTAAGATTAACCTGGAAGATACTCATCTTGCACCTCCACAGCATTTGGTAGAAATGTTTACAAATTCTTTTCACAAGGTAAGAATTTCATTTAGACTTTAGAGTTACTCTGCCAGTATGTGCTGAGATTTTATATATACAACATATACACAACCTTAATGTGCTGTATAGGTCAAAAAAATGTGGAAAATTAAGGAAAATGTGAAAAAAGTGAAATTTCCATAAAAGCTAGCAGAATGAGAATCTTTTGGGCAGTGGGAGGAATTAATTTTAGCTAGACAAGGACAATACCGTATAGAAATTACCAAAGAGTGACTGTCTCACTCTTATTTGAAGGGTTTTATTCTTCAGTTAAGCATTTTGCAATTCCCAGAGATAAATGTCTGCGAAGTGCTTGAGGTCATTCGTAGTTTGGTGATGCTTCTCAGTCCTTTCTGGAAATAATGTAGTTGTTCAGTTTTAAAAACGTCTCCATGAACACTAGCCTTAAAATGGGAACTTCAGTAACGTATACCAAAAATATGTATTATCTGGGATCGCCAGTAGAGAAAGCACAGGAGCCACCAGGATGGCAAAAAGGAAACTGAGAAGTAAGAAAATAAAAACTGTAGAGATATATCAGCTTTCTTCCCCTTGACTTCCTTGAAATGTGTGGTGAACCGTAAGGTTTGTTTCAGTAGTAGAAAGCAAGCTATCTTTCTTTTTTAAGGATGTTTTAGTGGTGTTTAGTCCTTCATACTTCCTGTGCGCTACAGAAAATCTGTTTGCTTGTTCATACAATGCTGCCCAGGATGAAAGAAGTTTTTAATAAAATCAGGTCTTACACTTTAATGAAAAAGTGTCTTGGTTTGTTTACATACAGAATGACATGCTGCCTCTCTCAGATTCTTTACCAGAGGATGTTGAAAAGGCTGACCAACTGAAAGATGAAGGTTTGTAATAAACATAAGAATAAACATCTTATGCTGTTACTAAGATTTTTGGGTTATCGTGGATAGTGATAGTGTAGCAGCTGGGCAACACACATCCCACAGAAGAACTTAAGCTTATATTCTCTGATGATTGTTATTTTGTAAGAGGGCTAAATGATTGCTTCATCTGGGGCTTAAAAAAATATAGTCTATTCTCTCCCTTGCTCAGGAGGTTGCTTAAAAACTAAGGGATAACACATGAAGCCCTGGGCAACATTCATGAGTCGTAGAAGGTTTAAAGAATGAACAGTTAATGTTTAGTATATTACAGATTTCTCTGTTTGTCCATGGAATTGCTATACAAGTTCCTACTTTATACTGAAAAGGTTACGTGATGTCGAGGATTATGTGGTAGCTGAATATTGAAACACTGGTAAAAAGCTGACCCAACTGAAGCCAATGGAAAAATTCTTGTGAACTTACTAGGGTTAGTATTTCATATACATGAAATAATTTGTGTGCTCTATAAAAACTGCAAAAAAGCCAGTTGTTTACTTTGCCTTTGATAGATGTTATTGCTGTTATGTGAGGAAAAGCAGCTGTACCATGGAAATCTTCATGAATGCTAGCCAAGAAGGAATCCATTTTACTCCCTGCCCCCCAAAAGAAGGGCGGAAAAAAAATCCCAGGCATGTAGCACTGATAACTGATATGAATTGTTATCAGGTGCACTGATGCTTTATAAATCACATTTTTTTTATGATCTGTTGGATTTGCAGACATTTGAGTTTTATAGAAAAATTAAGTAAGATTCTAATTGCAAGGCAGATGTAATCCTCAAAAATTTCAGGATAATTATGTGGAAAAAGTTACAGTGTTTTTGAAAATTAGTTCCATGTCTATCTTATAACTGGTCATGAGTGCAGTCCATTACTGGATCTGAAAGTAAGTTTTCCTAATTGTTGAAGTTGCTCATTAGCTCTTTAATTCTAAGTATAGGAGCTCAAAAAAGTTTAGGTCACAAGTGAAAATTAGTTTGTAAGCTTTAACATACCTGCTGTGCATGCTGGCTTTTCATTTTGCTGTCTGTTGTTGCCAGCTCATGGAAAGTGAAGAATGCCTGTAGCACTCCGTAGGTTATTGGACTGTAGTGATATGCAGCACTTTCCAGGTGCGGGTGTGATAGCAATGACTGTTTCAAATCTGTGACTTCTGTCTTGTCATCTGTCACCCCGCAGGGGTTTGTGAAATAGGCTGAGGAAATGAAATTAATGTGTGCTATGTGTTAGTCTTTGTGTGGTGTTACTAAAGCAATTCCATGTCTTTACTGAAAAAATTGAAAGTGTTTGAACTTCAGCAAAGGGCCTTTTAAAGCGTCAGCTATCAGGGGCATTAGTAAGCAGTTTGGAACTGCTTGAAATTCCTCTGTCTAATTTCACTTAATACAATCAACACTTCCTGTCCTGTTTTCTGATGCTGCTCTGTCATATTAATCCTCCTCATTTTCACACATCTATCATCATATCACTACTATCATGCTTTTCAGTTACGAGTATTTTCTGCCCTAAGTTAGGGACATAAATTAGATCACTTGGGGAATACTGTAATTCTACAACTCTGTCACTTCCTCATTTCTGTCTGTATGTCCTTACCAATGGAATAACTTCCCTCACCTTTGCGGCCACCAGCCTGCTCCTCCGCTGTTCTCAAACCAGCCCTAGTATCTGTAGAAATTGGCTAATGAATGGCAAAACAAAATCAGATAGCTGAGTTTTCTTCCTTGGTCGTTACAAAACCAAGAAGTAATACACCCTCCAGACTAGTAAATACTTGAATTTACTTGCCTACCGTTGTATATCACTTGAGCACTCCCAGGTCCCTCTCCGCAGAGCTGCTTTCCAGCAGGTCAGCTCCAAGCCTGTACAGATGCATGGGGTTGTTCCTCCCCGGGTGCAGGACCCTGCACTTGCCCTTGTTGAACTTCATCAGGTTCCTCTTCCCCCAGCTCTCCAGCCTGTCCAGGTCTCGCTGGATGGCAGGTTTGTATAGTGTAACAGTGGCATGATCCTAAAAAGATCTGGATATTACCACAGTATAAATTATAACATTAGGTAGTAGTTTCATTATGGAGGAAACATTCAAAAGTATAGCCATTTGTGGTTGCGGGGTTTTTTTTTTGCCTTAAGAATTTTTGTCTGGCATTAAAATAAAATATTAAGTTGCTTTTCCTTTTGTCCTGAATTGCTTAATCTCAGCAAAAATAGTAGGTCTAGCTATTTTTCCTTTAGCCTGTTTTGATCTGGAGAGCGAGCAAAAAAGGTACCCACTGACAGTAGCTCCAGCTTAGCTCTGTACCCAAGGTCATCTTTAGTACAGAGCAGTATCAGAAATTCCAACTTTGGTAGTCATTGACTGCAGTTTTGTTTTAGAGAAATAACAACTGCTGCAATCTCATTGAATGCAGCTAACTTGCAAGTCTTTTATCTGACTTTATTGTGACAACAGGATTTCGTGTACAGACCTTTAGCTTAGATCAAGAGATGTGTAGATGGTGGGCCTGTAGAAATGAGACAGATACGGTTACATTCTGTGTGTATTTTGAAGGTATACATGCAATTACATTTTCAGTTTGCTTTCTCACTGGCAGGGATTGCTGACTGTAATTACAGTCTAGTATATCGACTATTGGAAAGAGGTGATATTGTACTACTTTGATGATACTTAGTTACTTAAATCTGGTTTTGTCTATTAAGCTCTCCATGTTCACAAATAAATGCAAGCATAGTTGTTTTCAGTTAGTACAGGCACTTAGGCCTGCTTGTTCCACAGTCTTTTGCTTTGTGTCAGAGACAAAATGTTAAAGTGACTGAACTTTTCCAGCCTTTGCTTATGCAATTATCTACATCTGTAGTAACCTGTTGACCTATCCCTTCTCTTGCTTACTTTGGGAGAGGGTTGAAATATTTTGCCAAAATACAAGGAAGTCAATGGAAGTCTGTAATTTTCCTGACAATTTCTTGACATTTCTGCGAAACCAAGACTTCTGTAAGATCTAGCAGGCCAAAGATCCATAGCTGTGGGACCAGGGGCAACTTTAAGCTTGGGCACTCTGAACTAGAACTTTTGCCCTACTACTCTGTCATCAGGAAAGAAAGAAACTACCAGGACTGCCTTGTGCTAGGGAGGAAGGAATGTGTAAGATATCTTTTGTTTTGAAAGACCCTACTGAAGAATTTTCTTTCCATAGAATTTTTTTTTTTTCCCCACCAGACTTAAAAAATATGGAACAGAAAACTTCATCGTAGAGCAGCCTTGTTTATGAGAAATGGTACCTCTGAATCATTTTAGATTGCCTGTTCTATATGTACTTTTCATTATCTTAACAAATTAATTATGTGGCATCACAAAAGTGGGGCTTATGTGCTTAGTTTTGCTTTTGTTTGATTCTCCATGTTATATGGATAGTTGCAAGCAAGTTGTTCAGACATGTGAGAAGATGAGACCGAAAAGGAATTAACATATAGCCTATTGGATTATGAGGCTTGCGAAGATAGTTAAGACTGATGAATCTGTAATAAAGTGGAACTGCAATTGTAATTACACTTGTCAACAAAGTGATCTTTGCTTAACAGCAGAAACTAGCTGGAAAGTGTGATATTTCAAGATGAGAAGGGGAAGGTTTGTGTGATGGACTACAACGTACATAATAAACTTTACAGATATAGTAGATGTTTTTATTTGCATTATTCCATGCCAATTCTATTTAAAAGAATGTGTCTCAAAAAAAGTGCAGTCATAACTACTTTATATGGATGCTATAATGTGGATGCTCTATTTCTTGAATACATAGCACTGTATCTTTTAACTACTTAAGAGCTTTTTGTAATTTATTTCAGGTAATAATCATATGAAAGAAGAAAATGATGCTGCTGCAGTGGATTGTTATACGAGGGCTATAGAACTGGATCCAAACAATGCAGTCTATTACTGCAACAGGTAATAACAAAATAATACACACTTTTCATTCCTGAACTTCATTAACATTATTTTAAACATAAACTGTGAAGTAGATCAGAATAACATGAGGCTAGAAAACCCCACTATTCAGAAATTTATCATGTTACATTTGTAAAAGATCTGAAGTGGAGGTGGCTCGTTCAGCATAATCAGTTGAAGGTGTAATATGGGCTTTAAAATTACTTGTAATACTTGAGATCAGGTTTTTGTGACTTAGGCTGTCTATAGTAAATCATAACACAGACTGTGATTCCCAGTCCATTGAGAGTAGTAAGAGCCTTTTTTTCTGGTGTTCTAGTGACTCAGCTGCCATCTCTATCTCCCCTGCTTTCCCTGGAAACAATATCATCAATGTGGGAGTTACCATTTTGGGGATTTCAAGCATTGTATAAATACTCAGCATTTCTATGCATGACCTGTTGAAAAATATCAAGACTGTTATTGTAGTTTTGTTGTATAATCTATTCTTCACCATAGTGAAGACATAGTGACACGGGAGCAGATGAAGTCTGGAAGCGCATGTTAACGCAGTAGCAGAAGTAAGCTCTTCCAGTATACTGTCCAGAAGACCAGCATAAGAGCCAAAGGCAGTATAGTCTGAGCCCTACTGGAACTAGCCTGCCTCTAGAGTCACTCTGCTTTATGCTCTTCAGTGCCTCTGTTAGCAGAAGGACATATTAACTTAAATGCTGTTAATCTGGCTTTGTGGCACTGTACCCAGTGGATTTTTCTGTTTTGGAGCTGTGCTTCCACTACTTCGGAGTTTAGTTTGTGATAAATACAAGTGAAAGATTTTGTTTCATGGCAAGCATAAAGAGAAAGGAAATGTGCAGTTTACTAATATTTTACATCTTGAAGACAGCAGTTCAAAGTGTAAGTTATCTATTTTCCTTGAGAAAACTGATTACATAAGAGATTTTAGGTATAAAATGGAAATATAAGACCAGATTCAAAAGCCTCCCAAAATCACTGAAAGTTTCCTCAGTAGAATGAGCTTAAGCACTAAATCTATAATTGGCAAGAGTAGAAATACTTCACTCTGTGTATTACACCATCACATACCACATTTGTGAGGACCAAAATGAATCTTGATATCAGTAAGCACATATTATATGAAGTTATTTAAAAGAAGACAGGCAGTTGCTTGGAGTTTTGAGAGTGATGTGGTATTTGAATAAATATAGGCCCTGTTCCTATCTTAAGCTAGTTTGGGAGCAATGGAGATGTATTGCCTTCAACAGTATTGCTTTTTACTCACAGCAGTGAGAAAAAGAGAGAACTGAGATGCCCTCGAAGTTTTAACTGGCCATATAACTTTTGTTTAAAGATGGAAAAAACATTTTCTGTTAAAACACATGAGAGACTAAGCATTGTCCCCAGCTTTTATCCATACATCTTCACTGGCATCTGTGGAGTTGAACAACTGTTAAGCAGCCTAAGTATTTTAAATATGTAAGTAGTCCTATTCAGAAGATATTTTAATCAAAGTGAGAAAAAAAACCCATGCCATTTGGAGGTTATTATAGGAGAAAGGATTGAATATAGTGGTGATTGTAGGATCTAGCATTCCTGTTAAAAAAGAAGAATGCTTTATGCGATGGAAATATTGTCATTTCTACTATAGATGTTTAATAAAGGAAGAACAAATTACAGTGTTCTGAGACCTTTCAAACTGATGAAATTTTGATTATTAATCTGTTCCAATGTCCTTTTTAGTTTGGGTAAGTCTTTAATCTTATTGTATCAGAGTCCACAACACTTGGTAGTTCTCTAGTATATAGATGCAGTTGTAATTGAGTAATTTAGAGATTATTGAGAAATGTTATCCCAATGTACCTGCAAGCAGGAGTTGCCTGCTAAAAAAATGAGCAGGGAAGAATCACAGCATTCCTTTGAATGGCAGTAAAACTATACTACTGCTTAAACAATGATTTTATGTAAATTACTGCTTGAGAGTTTCACATCTTGTAATAGGTTTTATGATGTATTTTATGTATAATCATATGCTGGATCTAAACCAGTTCCTTAGAATTATTTATCCTTTTTGTCCTCAAAGGTGAGTGCATGTTCTCCAAAGCCCTAGTCTAGCAGTGTGCTTAAGCGTACATTTAATTCAGAATGTTTGCTTGTCTTACTTGATTGAGGAAAGCTGAGGCGTTGCCTAAATATTGAATGAAAAGTCAGTAAGATTAAACAAGCATGTGAATTTTTTTTTCTTTTATTGTTTTTTTTTTTTTGACAAAGCTCTCTCCCTTTCCTCTTAGGGCTGCTGCTCAAAGTAAGCTCAACAACTACAGTGAAGCAATAAAGGATTGTGAGAGAGCCATAGCAATAGATCCAAAGTACAGCAAAGCGTATGGGAGAATGGGGTAAGCTAATACAAATCTGAGTAAAAGCTGAAGTGTAAATCACCATAGATTTTCTGAAATAAGTGGAGCTAGGTTGTTTTATTTAGCTGACATTCTTGTTCTGAAAGCGTAGCAATTTTCTGAAGGTGACCCTATCAGGCTGTTGGCTTTACGTTTTATATATGTGGTTGGTCTTAGCTTTTTCATACCAGATTTCATCAGTGTGCAATTTTTTTTTTCTTTCAGTTATCAACTTTCAAATTTAATTTAGAGAGTCATGATGTGTTTTTTCTACCTCCTACATAGTTATGAGTGATCAAAATTCAGCAGTTGGAACGGTGAATCTGTTAATGATCCTGTTAGATAACAGAATCCTAAAAGTATTGGGGCTTCACACTAGCAGGGACAGAGGCTTATTTTTTCTGTTCAGTAGCTCTTTGGAAGCAGATATTTTATCAAGACTAAGCTATGTCCCTTTAGTAGTTTTTCTGTCATGTCTGAGAGATTAACAGTGTAGCCTCTTCAGGTGGTGGGTCTGATTAAGTGCTACCTGAAAAAAAAATGTCAGGAATGTTCTGAATGGGCTGTCTACTTGAGTGAAGGGCCGTTTTTCCAAGATGTGTAGCTTTGTGTTTTCAATAATTAAACATAGTGTGGGTGTGGGCTGAATGCTGCATAAGGCTTTTGAGGCTATATATATATATTAGTAAATTAAAAAATGCCTGGGATTGTTTGTTGGGTCAGCTGTCACAAAATGGCCATCTAGTTTGCAATGTGGAGTGCCTATTGCTAAATTGTGTTGGCCTGTGTTAAATTCTGAACCATGCCCCAAAATTGTCTGGGATAATGCTTGTTGGCCTGGGACAAAACTATGCCAGGGGGCATTTATTTAAGATCAAAGATGATGGAATTCTATCACTTGAAACCTTTCCACGATACCCTTTGTTATACTGATACAAATGTAGCCTGACTGGCTTTTCAGAGGAATAATTAATTTTGAAATTTTAGGGACTGTTGAATTGGTTTTGTCCCATTTAACTCTCTTAAGCTCGTTTCTTCATGTAGCACAACTTGAGATCCCCGGATTTCAATGAGATGGAGGGAAGCTACAGGCTGATTTAATTGGAAATTGGAGGTTGTTTTAGAGTTTTGGGTGTAAGATCAGTTTGCCTTTTTATACACTATGTAAGTGGGATCATTAGTGGGCAATCAAGCTTCTCTTTTTTTGATTGTTTGTGTTGATAGAGGATGTACTTCATAGAATCATGAATGGTTTGGGTTGGAAGGGACCATTAAAGGTCCTCTAGTCCAACCACCCTGCAATGAGTAGGGATGTCTTCAGCTAGGTCAGGTTGCTCAGAGCCCCATCCAACCTGACCTTGAATATTTCCAGGGATGGGGCACCTACAGTCTCTCTGGGAAACTGGTTCCAGTGTTTCACTGCCCTCATTGTAAAAAATTTCTTCTTTATATCTAGTCTGTGTCTACCCTCTTTCAGTTTAAAACCATTACCCCTTGTCCTATCACAACAGGTCCTGCTAAAAAGTTTCTCCCTGTCTTTCTTTTAAGTCCGCTTTAAGTACTGAAAGGCCGCAGTCAGATATCCCTGGAGCCTTCTCTTCTCCAGGCTGAACAACCCCAACTCTCTCAGCCTTTCCTCATAGGAGAGGTGCTCCAGCCCTTAGATCACTTTTGTGGCCCTCCTCTGGACCTGCTCCAACAGTTCCATGTCTTTCCTGTGCTGAGGTCTCCAGAGCTGGATGCAGGACTCCAGGTGGGGTCTCACCAGAGCAGAGCAGAGGGGCAGAATCACCTCTCTCGCCCTGCTGGCCACAATGCTTTTGATGCAGCCCAGGATACGGTTGGCCTTCTGGGGTGCGAGCGCACATTGTTGGCTCATGTCCAGCTTTTCATCCAGCAGGGCCCCCAAGTCCTCAGCAGGACTGCTCTCAAAACACATCATCCCCCAGCCTGTGTTGATACCAGGGATTGCCTTGACCCAGGTGCAGGACCTTGCACTTGGCCTTGTTGAACTTCCTGAGGTTCACATGGGCCCACTTCTTGAGCTTGTCCAGGTCCCTCTGGATGGCATCCCATCCGCAGGACTCAGCTTGGTGTCATCTGCAAACTTGCTGAGGGTGCACTTGAATCCCACTGTCTATGTTGTTGATGAAGATATTAAACAGTACTGGTCCCAGTACGGACCCCTGAGCTGCACAATTTTGAGACAATACAGGCCCCTGAGGGACAAATAGTTTGAGCTACAAGCCATTGCTTAACACAGCAGATGGACGTAATAATACATTTGGCATAGCCTGAATGAGGAAACAGTACTTGTTTAGTAAAAACTGAAGGAAAAAAAAGAAGGTGCAGAAACCACCGCCTCAACAAATAGCCCTTACGAGAAAGCTGTGTTTTCTGACTGTATTATGCAGGCATATCAGTTTTTCTCAGGATTTGACAGAAACTATATGTCATAGAAGGGTGCAGAAGTGCCACAGAAATATGCGGAGATGGGAGCCATGTAGACAGTCAAAGTGATACTTCCAGCATGACCCTGAGAGAGCACTTGTCTTGGTAGGAGTTGTGAGCAAAGAAACTGTTGCCCGCTGTTCTGACTTGCTCTGTGCTCCAAGAAGCAGAATTTTACATACTTTTCGCTGTAAAAAAACCGTGGTTGCATCACAGAAATAGTGGATTGCACTTCTTGTCTGGTCAGAAACTATTTTTGCAAGTTAATGGGCCAAAAGGGAGACTGTTTTTTATGGGAGTAACTGTGTTAAGAGAGAAAACATTAATATTGTGTGGGTTCCTCCAAGAGCATTACTGGAAACTCATGGAGTTTCATACTGTTAGTGAGTTCATCGTCACTGAGAATAATGACTGTGACTTATCTATCTAATACACTGAGCTCTCCTGACTGATAAAGGACTAAGGTCTGTTAGTGGGCATTAGCACAGACTTACCAACCCAGTCTGTGTAGCTCACCACATACCAAGGAGGACTGGAGTACTAAATAGCTGAATAAGGGTCAGACAGATCTTTCTCAAAATGTGGAAAAGATCAGTTTAGTTTTGTGGTCAGTATAAATTGAGAATACAGTAGAAGATAGAACTGAAACTGCAACCAGATGGACTTCTGGAATAGCTCAAAGAAAGATGATGTTTTAAATGCAGAAGCTAATTGAATTTGAAAACAAATACTGTTTCAAAAGTAGTAGATCTGTCCTGTGCTTTCCTGAGCTGCTGGAGAAGAATCTTTTTCAAAATGTTAAGCAGACTTCACTGATAAAAGGGTTTCTTACAGCATCTTACAGATGTTACTACTATGCTGTATAACCCATTTGTCAAGCTGTTGAAGATCCGAAAGGAGAACCTTGCACTGATCCCAAGACAAAAATGTATTATGATGAAACTTGTGGTTCCAGTATTTGGTACCTGGAAGCTGCAGAACTCATGTCCAAAGTATCTTTGCCCTACTTACCCGTGTACCCTTCTGAATAATCTCTTCAATCAAAAGGACTGGAGGAAACAGAGGAATTCCTGAGCTTATGCAAAAAGTCACAGATGCTGGATCCAGCTTGTGCTCTCAAATACAGACTAAATCACTTGATGATGCCAAGGAGTTTTTAATGAAACTTGCGCATATGTGACAGACAATACAAGATGAGTTGAGGGATCATCTCTTCTGCAAAAACAAGTGGTTACACTAAGCAGTAGTAACACAATAGCAAAACCTGCTTTAACTCAGTGCTCAAGCTAAAAATTAGTTGTGAGATACTGTTCTACGTAGAATAGAAAATGTACGATTACCTTTTGACGGTCATTTATGCTCTACCCAGGATTTCTTTATTTCACATTAGGTTGGCTCTGACCTCAGTAAATAAATATGAAGAAGCAGTTACCAGTTACCAAAAAGCACTGGATCTTGATCCAGAGAATGACTCTTACAAGTCAAATTTGAAAATAGCAGAACAGAAACTGAGAGACATGTCCAGTCCTGTAAGTTTGCTCTGTATCTATTTATTTATGATAGTTTTAACTGGGATTTTGTAGGTAAACTTATCTTCAATTGCAATTTGTTTGTAGACTGGAACTGGACTGAGTTTTGACATGGCAAGCTTGATAAACAATCCTGCTTTCATTAGTATGGTGAGTACAGTTGAAGTTTTACATCGTACTGATTTGAAAACTGAAGTTTTAAGAACAACTCTTGTTTAATAACACAAGCAATTTTAATGCTTAATATAATGGCAATGGTTTCAATATACTGAATTTAAACTTTTCTAAGTCATTTTACACTCAAAACAAGAAGTGAAGTGTAAATGTCCTATAATATATAAATGTCCTATAATGCCTGTCGTATTTCCAACTGATTCTATCGTACTTACAAGCAAAAACGTGCATAGATTAGCTATGCTGTTTTTATAGATGACATGATAGTAAAACACTTGTCAACAGCATTGTGAGAATTTCTTTTCCATTCTCCACATAGCAGTTAACAATGAATACAGGGAAGTCACCTCTTAAGTGAACAGCAGTTGATTCAGGTGCAGTGCACCCAAGATTAAACTAACTCTGCCTGGGGAGAACTGCCCAACAGACCTTTCTGTTCTTACTCCTTCAAATTATTCCTGACATCTTTAAGTGTGCAAAACTTCATGTGATGTGGAAACAATGAATATAAATAACATATACTGCATTCCTTTACTTCTAGTACAATGGCAAATTGTGGTTTTGTCCATCAGCAGTTTTTCTCCGTGCATGGCTTTCTTAGCTAAATGGTATTAATTAACTTTGAAGAATGGAATTTGGAGGAAAAAAAATGCAAAATCTACTTATTTCCTTTGAGAACTCAGTTAAAGCTTTACTGCCCCTGTGGCAGCTTCATTAGGACAGGACATTTCAACCAGTGCTTCCGTCTGGAAATGCACTGCATGCAAGAAAGACCAATACGTCTGGTCTGCTACTATGGTCCAAATAATAGAGGCGATAGGCAAAGAAGAATTGAGCAAGTTCCTGATGGCATCAGTGATTAAATAGCACTGGAACTCTGTGTACCACTTTGTTGGCCACATGACTTATTCAGACAGTCTGCATCTGCTTAGAGTCAAAGATGTGCTCTCCAGTATGGAGCTAACTATGGGGAAAGGAATTTTTGCCTCATTTCCAGAAGATACCTGGTCAAGTGGATAGAACATAGGGTGTTCAGCCAGGAACAAATGAATTATTTTATTGTGGTGTAATTTTTTTGTTGCTTCATTTTCAAGGAACAAAATTGACTCATTGTCTGACTTTGAGAAAATTACTTCTAGCCCCCATTTTGGGTCCCTAACCTAGATCAGGCTTGTTACTGATGGAAGAAAGAAAAAAAATCCCGTATTGCTGATTCTGACCTGAATTTGGCATTTTATATCCAACTGTAGACTAGAGAAGACATTTCATTTACTTTTGAGATATATATATGGAGATATATTGACCAATAAAATTTAATATTGTATATATCTGTTTTTTGTAGTACCTTTAATAAGAGAAAGATGAAGCAGATACTGCATTGTGCCTATTGGTCTTGTATTCATAAAGCCACTGATTTCTGTAGGAATTATGTTACTAACTTTAAAACATCAAAAGGTTTATTCTATAGTATCTGTCCATATACACCCTCACAGTATGGAAAACACAATATATTTTTTGCGATATCTTATGAATGAGAAATTTAAATAACCTCATGCTTACTACAAAGTAAGAAGATACGCAATCACCACAGAAGGTATATGTTACCACTAAGCAATGCTACAAAGTAAGTCCACACTTTGGTTTAGTCTGCAATATTTTGTGTCTGTAATCTTAACAGTTTATACCCAGTAGTAATGGTAGTTGCAAAACTGATTTATCCAGGCTGGGAATTGCCAAAATACAGACCTTTCTCCAAAAAGCCCAACAGAAAACCTTTGTCCATGGAAGTCTTAATTTTTAATTTTTATTTATTTTTTTTTTAGTTTTCTGGTACGGAGATTTTATGTTTCACGTCTTCTTGTCATATTTGTCATGTATGAGTCTGTAACCGCTATTTTTTATGTAACATGTAACAAATTGTGTCAACCTCATATCCTTGAAATATGTTCTTGTAATGAGTCTTTTCGCCGGGGACCATACATCTCTGTGCACATAAACAGAGCTTAATTTTGTAATAAAACATGGAATACAGCATGTCTGTTTTGGGGTTTTTTTCCACATTTTCCTCAGTGATACCTAAGTAGTAAATATTTTATAATTTCAGCTATATATTGTCTATTCTAGGCAGCAAGCTTAATGCAGAATCCTCAAGTTCAACAACTGTAAGTATTAAAATGGAGTACCATTAAAACAAATGTCGAGGGGTTTGAATTAATGAAAGAAAAGGTGGACAATACTGTATTCCTGAAAGTGTAATTTTATTTTTGCTTACTGCATCTAAAACTACTGCAGTTTTTTCCTCTTGCAGCTTATCTCCTCCCAGCAATTAAAAAAACTATGGTTTATTGCTTACTGTAAAGGTCCCTGCATACGCCAATGCCAACACTGTGCTAACTGTTCCAGAATGTCCGGGATGATGTCAAATGCCATTGGTGGCCCTGCTGCGGGTGTTGGTGGCCTGTCGGATTTGTCCAGCCTGATCCATGCGTAAGTAAGGAATGCATAGTTTTAACCATTACATTTGTAGAAGCATCATTGTGCAACATCTATTTAAAAGGGGTAGTGTCAAGCCAATTATACTGCGGCCTGTCCGCATTGTATGCCTGATCATTATTAAAACTGAGAACTTGAAGACTTACTTTCTACTACCTTGTTTTGTTTGCTTTGGACGTTTCCATCAATGGGAATGACTGAACTGTGTGCTCAGTTTCACTTTCTGGTTCTCATACACTGTTTACTTTCTAAATGCCACTTATTAAAAACGCTCCTTTAAATCTTTAAGTATTCCTACATGCGCTTTCAAATTGTGTTGATAAATTTACAACGTGATATCCCAGACACTAGTTAGACAAACTACAGATGTACCTAGCAAAGGTTGCAACAAGTTCTGCTCAGGCATCCCTCCATTGAGACTGGGAAGGCTTCAGGGAACTCAGTATAATGAGGAGTAGCTTTTGCAAAAAACAGGACCCAAGTCTTTTATAGTATAATAACGATAATCCATCTGGAAGAGTGCACAAAAACATGCCATTTACTTATATGGCAAGGCCTAGTAAAGGGCATACAATTTTATTTTATTTTAGCATTCTAGCCTGTTTGAAACTACTTTTAAGTCTTGTCCCTTCAGGGTAAAAGTAATTTGTAATTCGCATCACAGAGAGGAATATGCCCTAACAAAATCAAGAGCTGTTTTCACAAAAAAACATGTACTACATCTGATCTGTGAAAGTGGTGGCTTTCCTTCAGCCTGCACTGTGGTTTAGAGGAGTCTTGATAATTTGCTCCTTGGGCAAAATGCAGAAGTTACAGAGAAGCTATGTCAGGCTATTCATGAAGTAGTATGTTTTATTTACTTGCTTTTTCTAGTAAACCAGTGTTATGCTTATCTTTTACATGGAATGAATCTCACCTATTAATTTAACTCTTAAGCCACAACTGTTACGGAGATGGATCTGTCATTACTTCAGTCATACAAGACATAAAAGTGTAATTCTATGCTTGTTTTCTACTAACGACGTCATGCTCACAAGTACAAGTTGGCAGCCCCATATTGTATTTCTGGAAGAACTAATATAAGGTTTCACTTCAACTACAAGAGTAGTTATCTTAAATAGCTGGAATGGATCCTTTCAAAAAGAAGGGAGCAAATCACTGGTGCAGGTTTGTTGCTAAATTTTAGTTTTACCAAGTAAGGTAATACTTTTTCCTCCATGTTACCAAGTTGAAGTAATATTCCTAAAGAATGAAAATGAAGATCTTGTGATAGTCCTGTTGGGGAGACTTTAGATACTACAAATATCTTGATTAAGACTATGCATCAGGTTATATTTAGTCTCAACTTTCATATTGGACCTTTCGGTTATATTAGGATATCTTGTTTTCTTACAAATGCTGCTTGTCAGTTTTTTTTCACTTGCTGATTTTACTTAAAACTGTTCAACACAGGGGGCAGCAGTTTGCACAACAGATACAACAGCAGAATCCAGAGCTCATAGAGCAACTGAGAAACCATGTCCGGAGCAGATCTTTCAGTAGCAGCACTGAAGAGCATTCCTGACTTACAGAAGGCAAGTGAATTGTTATGGTATACCACCCCAAAATACATACCATAGTTAGTAGCAAAAGCACCATTGTAACTCTTCTGCTTGAATAGAAGACAGAAAATTCTTTGTGCGTGTTTGCAAACAGGAATAAATCTGTTAAACAGATCTATTGCACATAACTTGGAACATATTGTTTATGTATAGTTACTCCTCTGAAAATTAATACAGTAAATAGGTGGTTTATTAAAATCCCTAAGTACAAGTCCTTTTCAGTATGTGCATTAGATTGACCTTCAGGGCTATTGAATGGGGAGGAGTTTTGTAATGGGCTGATCTTGCGTAACAGCTTAATTCTAAATTCCTAGTGTAAAAGGCATGTTATCTTTACGGTGAAAATCATTACGGCTGTACTCCCTGTCACACATCTGATGTGCCCTTTCATAGTGAGCATAAAACAGTGTTGGGAGTATAAAGTGTACTGAAAACTAATGCTTGAAGAGTCTGTTTCTTTAAGCCTGTGGAGGAGCTGTTATTAGTAACATGAAATACTTTTCACCTTCATTGGGCAGGAGGGAGGGAGATGATTGCATGTGAAGGAGTACCAGAAATTGGAGAGAAAGAGAAGACACTAATCCTGAGTAGGACAATACACAGAAACCAAAATGGAACTTGGCTTGGGAAAGGAAAGAGTATGAAGAAGTTTTAGGCTTTTCTACTGCCATGTATATCCTAAAATCATGATGGTAGCCCTGGAGGTCAGCATTATGGCACTGTTTTCCTAAGCAATGGGAAACTGTACTACATTCCATATGTATGCAGTATTTAACATAAGCTTAAAATACTTAACTGTAATAAGCTGCAACTGATCCTGTGACTGTACAAATAACTAGTACTGAAAATTTATCAAAAAATAACTGTCTTAGGATTCTCTTTCTATTCTGGTGTGGTAAATCACTGGCTGGAATTTTATTTAAGTTTCATTAAGTGATGGTTATGTGGCCAAGTTAAAGATTTTTCCACACTGGAGTATTTCTGTTCCTGCCCTGACTTTCTTGCTCAGGTAGTCTTACCCTTTCAGAGACCACTGCTTTTCTGTATTTTTATTATGTTAACTTTTTTTATTCTGCTTACTGTTCATACTGCTTTCTGGTACAAGGTACATTTGTTTTTACTCTGGGGAGATTTTCAACACTCACACTTTCCTAAGCTGAGGAGCCTGCTTTGATTCCTAAGACAAAGCAATCTCTGCTGGCCAGTTAGACTGGAGAAGTCATGTAACAGCAGGCCCCCAGATGGAGAAATACACAGGAACTCCGGGACCTCAGACGTATCTGAACCGATAAATTTATAAATCCAGAGTGGCTAGGATAGCACTGCGGTATCTCTCACACTCAATTTATCCTTACTTTATGACACCAACTTTCTACTTCAAGATTGAACGAGTGTCAAGAACCTTGAGAGTTCCTACTCTCTACAAAACATGATATATTTCAAAGACTGGCTGTAGCAGTTGTATTGTCAAGTACAAGCCCTATAGCTCACTGGATTTATGGGAGAACTGTCCCCAAGGTTAAACGGAACAAAACATTGGTTAGTTATCTAAAAACGACTGTTGAAATCGTATTTATAGAGTGGTAACTTTCATTTCACATCCTACAATATTGTAATGTTTAGGTTTTACTCCAGTACAGATAATATGTAACCAGAGTATTTATTAAAATGTTGATGGCATTGGCTTAACCCTTTGTTGTGCTACAACTGGCACAATACTTAACTTGTAAACAGTCTTTGTTCCTTGTATATTAACAGAAAGACCTTTATAGCCTAAAAAAAACCCAGTGACACCAATAACAGGAGGTGTCATTACATGCTTTTCCATTGAAACCAAGAACAGAGGCATCAGTCATGCTAAAGTCTATTTTGCCTTGAATAGCCTGGATTGTTTCACAGTCTCATGCACTATGTCTTAATCACAGGGTGAGGAAGGCATCTTTTCCTGTGTAATAACTGCACTTTATTTTGCACTAAAATTTTTCACCCTGCTAGATGAAGTGGTAATCCCACAATCCTTGTAAACAGTGCTTTACTTTCAGGTCAACTGCTGTATGTCATTCAACTGAGAAAATATACATTTAACACCTGACTGGTTTTGTATCATTACTGTTCCATCAGCATATAAGTGTGATAATTGTTAGAGAAGAAAGTGTTTTGCACTCAAATTGTAAACTCCTATAACCTGCTTGCATGGAATTATATTCTTCTAACTATGCCTGATCATAGACACTTCATGAAATATTCAGCTTAGAAATTGTTTCAATTGCACTTTTCATTTTATAACAAGTACAAAGTAAAATCACTCATGCATACTGAGACAGAACTAAGTCCGCAGCTTTGGATTCAAGTGCTGTTCCAGGGCTACAGAAAGTCATATTGACAAAATGCAACTTGTCTACCATTTCTGTATCTCCAACCTCTTCTTACTATATGGCTACATCTCCTTCAACTTGTGTCAGTTTAACTTGAAAATAGATTATAAATAAAGTTATTTACATTTTTTGTCTGGATAGTTGTGGTTTTACTGTTTTAATTTGTTGTGTATCTAGAGTAACAGATAAATGGCATTCTTTAAAATACCTGTTTATGTTGGTTGCTTTGCATTTTATTAAATGTGCAGGATATAGGGTTGTTTGGGGTTTTTTTCCTGGTTCTAAATTTATCCAGTTCTTTAAAAAATGAATTCTATACTTCAAGATTTTATACACAGGAACGCCTTAAGTAAAATACTGTCAAAACTAACTTAGGTTGCTAAGGGCCAATATGGTAGCTGAGAAATATGACAAAGCACAGAGTAGAATCTTTAACACGAATTTAATTAGTGTTAAACTAGGAAAGCCAGTCACCTTTTTCTGTATTAAATGGCTGCCTTGGGGTGACCTTAGGTATTTCAGCTAAAAATATTTCCATCTTTTGTCACAACAAAGCTAGAGAAAATGACATTTCAGTGCTTGAATAAGTCCTGAATTACTTCCTGCGTCTGCTTTGGAGAACTTGATCTAAGGCAGCCATGTAGAGTATTTTCTCCTCATTTTCCTAAAAATCTAATTAAATGTCTCTGACATGGGAAAAATAACTTGCACCACTCAGTTTAACACTAAAAAAAATGCCTGAGTTCTGCGATTTTAGTTTTCAGTTCCCTACTAACTGGGGAGTAACCTGCCCATTCACAGCATGCCCTGTATCACAGGTATGCACAACTCTGCACCAGACCGCAGATAATTGGGACAGAATTGCTGTATTACTCCTTCCCAAAGACGGAGCCACATCCAGCACATTCTTCAGGGAATACTCTATTTTCTAGCTGCTAGCACCTCAGCAGTGCCAGCTGCACTCTCTCATCTCATGCCTTTGTTAGGCTCTAGTTCTTACGGCTATGCACATCCCATGCAAATATGCTGCCACGCCAGGCACCCCTGAAGTATTTCTTTTAGAGGTTTGGATTCCAGGAACTTGTCTGTAAAAGGCCAGTTCCTTGAAACTGAAGTAGTTTTGTCAGACCCACAATTTAAAAACTGTTTAAATGTTTTAAAAATAATTAAAATAAAAATAAGTACAAAGTGCTACTATTTCATATCAGGCTCACCCCCCACCCCTAGCTGATGTTAATGCAATATAATTTGCTATAGCTATGCTTTTTTCAAAGGCTTTATTTTCAGTAGATAAGATGCACATGCATGTTTTAAAAAATTTTAAAACATTCAGAAAACTCTCAGACCAATTAAATAAGCATAGTTCCATTTATAGATATATAGGGATTTGGTTTTGTTTGTACACATTTGAATAGGATTCGGCTGCAAAAACATGAAGTTGGTCAAAAAAAAAAAAATCAAACAATGAAAGCCCAGCAGAAATACAGACTTTTTTCTTCAGCTTTGTTTGACTTCTGAAGAAACTACACAGACTTGTGCAATATCATCATACTCATATGTTCTCTTCAAAAACGTGTCTGTAAGTCTTAAGCCAGAGACACTCTAGAAAGGGAAAATATAAGAGCTGTTAGAAAGAACTACTAAGATTGTAAAACAGCTATTTTATAACAAAACTACGCTACAAAGACTTACTTGCAATCCCTGCACCGAAGACAACAGTGTAAGTGCAAGATGGAGGGATGAACTTGGGTGCAGCTTTCCAAGTTGCCTTCCTGAAACTCCACACCAGTGGATCGAATTAGTATTGCACATTTCTAAAACCAGATCCATAGTCCTTTCACTGCTAGAGAAAATTGAAAAACAAGAATAAACCTGTGGGCTTTTGTTAAGCATTCAAGGACTGCAGACGTGTAAAAGCTTGATTACTTTATTATACAGGTTACTATTAATTAAGCATTTATAGATAATTACAAGGTGGCAAGCAAGATTTACTGTGATGCCTAGTAATTCAGTTGCATACAGCTTTGTCCGACACGAGTGTCCTGTAATGGGTCTAGCAATACTGGGTAGCATAACACTGCTCACATTTTAGATGGAGTACAAGGTTTTCCTGAGAAGAATTTGCAGACCAGATACATGCTTTAGTCCCTGGCTTCAACTTCTATACAGAATTACTTTATTTAAACGTCACTCTTGCAACCCTGTTACAAAAGGCTGCTATAGATCCTAGTGTAAACACAAGTCAAAACATGGATAAATATGTTCAAAAGACTACGGTGACAATATTTAGCAGGCATTCTAGCAGTGGTGCAGAACTAGCAGTAAAATTATACTGGATACAAATGAAAATGTTTATTCTGATAAAATTACTTGTAGTTAAAAAAAATCCTACATACACACTCACTTGGTTATTAGATGAACTAAGAAGAACTAAGATGATTTGTGATTTAAGTATGGGGTGCCATCTTCAATGATACTGCAGCCAGTTCCGTGGAATTCCCCTACAGCTTTTTGCCAATAGTATTAACAGATCATGTTGGAAGTTTTTTTTGTTTTTTTTGTTTTTTTTGGGTTTTTTGTTTTGTTTTGTTTTTTTTGTTTTTTTTTGTTTTTTAAATCACTGTAATCCAAAAGATATGTTTCAAGTAGTTTCATATTGCTACAACTCATAGTAAAGAGTAGGTTTGAGTTTCAGGAGAAGGTATTGAATAATGAAACAAAGTCACAACTTACCCACTCAGGAAAAACACAAAAATCACAATTACATTATTACCTGCAATTTGTTATTTTACATGTAATGTCAAAAGGTTCTTCCAAATTTACGGTGTCTGGTATTGTCTCCAAAGAAAGCCTCACATCGCCATAACCAGGAGCCTGAGAA